GGCCCTCAGGAACCCTTTCTTGGGCAAGGGAGCGGCTCGGCCTTTACCTGACCTGTGACCTGGGTGGTGGGGAAACACTTCCTCGTTGGCTTTGGGAATGGAAGGCCCCTCACCCCCGACTGCTGCCCCCCTTCAGGAGTCACCCCGGAAACCTTCTGGGGGATGGGATGGCTGCTTGGCCACCAAACCAGGGCAGCAGCAACTGGGACCCACGGCTGAGCCTGGAGCAGAGTCAGTGATGTTGGGGGGGGGGGGGGGGGGGGGGAGGCGGGCGGGGGGGCGGAGCCCCCCCCCCCCCCCCCCGCGGAGCCTCCCCAGGGTGGGTGGCCATCCTTGGTGGGAAGACGCACACCCAGGCTGGGGCGGGCAGGGGCACCGCCCTGCGGGAGCCTGTGCACCAACCCTGGCACCAGCACTTGGCTGGGTGCCAGGCGCCTCGTACCTGTTGATGATGCGGTAGTAATTCCAGCCCCAGCTCCGCAGGCAGTGGGAGGGCGGGATGTGGCCGATGATGTGGACCTGCAGCGGAGGGGGGGGGGTCAGTGGGGGCAGCCGCAGCCGCCAGGGCCCCCTTGCCTGGGCTTCCCCGCTGGCCCCCCCTCCCGGGGGCCCCCCCCCCCCCCACCAATGCTCTGGCAATGAGCTGGCCTGCCCCACCTCAGTTCCTGCCCGCCCCAGCTGACCTTCTCTCCGCTCTCCTCCGCCCTCTGCAGGACGCCCACCAGCCACTGGAGCTGCCCGGCCGGGTCGGTGGCGTTGATCAGGAGCCAGAAGTTGGCCTCGGAGCAGAAGTTCATATTGAGGGAAACCAGGCGGAGGCCCCGCCAGAGGGGGAGGGTGTAGAAGCCCCCCAGCCTGCCGGGGGGGAAAGGCAGGAGAGTCTCAGGGAGGAGACCCTCAGGCCCCCTCCCCTCCCCTGGGGGAGCTCCCTTGGGGTGGGGGGTCTCCTCCGTCCCCTCGCCATCAGCCAGACCCCGAGGCCTTCAGCGACGGGGCCCCCAGGCCTCCAGGGCAGGCATAGGCACCAGAGCCACTTTATGACGGGGGACGTCTCCAACCCCCAGAATCCCTGAGCCAGCAGAGCAAAGCACGGGACTCTGGGAGTGGCACTCCCCAGTTCGTAAAGGTGCCACAGTCACCCCGCTCTGTCTGTGCCCGGGGCAGAGGCGGCCCGACTGGTGCCACGGGGCTTCACCACCCGCCCACGCCGAAATCCTTGTTAAGCAAGCAGAGGAGGAGGAGGAGGCTGGGCTCCCCTCCCACAAGCCACTTCCACCCTGGGGGGCAGGAGCGGCTTCCTTCTCCCGTGAACCCCTGGCAGAATTGAGGGGCTCTTTGGGGCTCCTCCTAGCCCCCTCCCCAAGCTGAGCCTCCCCCCCCCCGAGGAGCTTGCCTGGTTGGGTCATGAAACACCTGCAAGGAAACAGCCCAGCTCGGGGGGCACCGGTGGGCACGGCTTCCCAAGGCGGCTGGGCAGGAATGCTTGGAGTAACGCCACTAGAATGGCCCCACAACAGCCCAGGCCCCCCGTGGGGGACATGGCTAGCAGGTGCGATCGCTGCCTTGGGCGGTTTATGGAGAGGACAGGGAGAGGTGGGCTATCAGGAGAACAGGAGCCGTTCGTGGGCAGCACTGCCAGGCCAGTGGGGAGGGGAGGAAAGCATTGCACACACCACCGCCCCAAAGACGACCCTGGTTTCCAATCGGAAGTTCCCACGGCATCCCAGGGGGCTCTAAAGCCGGTGGGGCCACTTTTAAGACTTCAACCCCCAGCTGGGTCTTCAAAGTGGCCGAGGCCGGGCAGCCTTGTGTAGGAACCACAGCTGTGAGGCTCCACCTGGGGCACCCGGCAGCCCCAGTTCCCACGGCTGGCAAGGCCCCCAGGGGTTTTGCTGGGCACAAAGGAAGGCAACTGCCGCCGGAGCGGCCGGCTGCTCTGCCAAGAACATCCAGCCCAGGAAGAACCAGGAGAGCAGGTTGCACCCAGCCCAGTCGCCAGGAATGCAGCGGAGGCAAAACCTTCCGGCTGGGAAAACCAACCCAGTCCTATTATGGCTTCCATGGCCACCCAGCTCAGCCAAGCGGCTTGGGGGGGATGGGGGAGGGGCTTCCAATCCCAACACCCAGAATCCTGCCGTTTGGCTCCACCAGCTGGCGGCCTTCCTCCCAGCCGGCTCTGCTTAGGGGCAGCCGGGAGGCAGGACAGAAGGAAGAGAAATAAGCATCAGAGCTGCGGGCGGGGGGGGGGGGGGGGGGGGGGGGGGGGGGGGGGGGGGGGGGCGGGGGGGGGGGGGGGGGGGGGGGGGGGGGCAGTGAATTTTATTGATGGTTATTGTTACTGGGTGTTGGTGACACCCAGGGCAGGTCCCTGCCAAGGCCACCTGGAGAATGGGGAGTGAGGACCTGGTCCAGGCCTGGGATTCCAATTATTTTACCATCTATTTGGTGGCCATAGCGTAGCTTGGTGGGCATGGCAGGGAAGGATACTGCAAACTCCCCCTTCCCTCCCCACCCCACTAACCTGCTTTCCAGCTCCATTCTCCTCTGCAGGGCAACCAAAGGAGACCCAGCCAATCAGCTACCGGTTCTCCAGGGTCCGAACCGGCTGAATCCCACCTCTGATCTGGTCCCCAGGAAAGGCAGGGGAGAGCCCAGCCTGCACCTCCACCCCCAGCCAGGACTGTCTGCAGGGCTTCAGAGGCCAAAGCAGGCCAAGGCTGCTCTGCCCCTCTGCAGGGGGGGGGGTGTCCCTCAGGGAGCCTCCGGTCCCTCCCTCCCTCCCTCCTACCTCAGGGTCCGCAGGGCTTCGGGGGGCAGCCACTGCTGCCAGGCATCGGCCATGGCATCGTACAGCCAGGCGGAGGACTGGTTCCCAGGCACGTAGGGCGGGGGGAAGGCATTGACGGGCACAGACTCGTGGTTGCCCACTGCCGGGTAGACGGGCAGCGGCCCCAGGTACTTCCGGATGAGGCCGGTGATGGTGGAGAGGGCGTGCAGCTGGTCCTGGCGCGTCTGCTGCCAGATGTTGTGAGCTGGGATGTCGCCCGTCCAGTAGGCAGCCTGGAAGGGCCCGGCAGATGCCAAGTGCTGCAGCAGGTTCTCCAGAGTGTGGAGGGGCAGGTCGCATTTGCTGTAGGAGCCCCAGTAGCCGGCCCCGGGGCCCTGCGGCTGGCCCCCCCGGCAGCAGAGGGGGTCCCTGCAGTCGGGGTCGCTGCCCGGGGTGTACTGCAAGTCCCAGTGCAGGTCCGTCAGGAAGAGCAGGCGGGCCGTGGGGGCACCGGGTGGGGGGGGCACCGGAGGCCTCACGGGGGGCTTGGGGGTTTCAGGCAGGGTGACGTTCCAGCTGGAGTAGATGTCCCAGTGGCCACACCGGGCGCCCACCAGCAGGCCGCAGATCTCAGCCGGGCGCAGGACGGAGCGGACCCAGGCGGTGACCATGTCTTGCCCAAAGAGGCGGGTGGCCTCCCGGCACACCTCGGGGGGCGCCAGCTTCAGCGTCACGCAGACCTTGGCCGCCAGCTGCTGCAGGTGCTCCACGCTGGTCTCCAGCTGCAAAGCAGAGGGCTGGCATGAGCATTGGGAGCAGCCCTGGAAATGTCCAGGCGGAAAAGGGGGCTGGAAGAATCTCCCCGCCTGAGGCCTCAGCCAGGCCCTCCCTCGTCCCCTACGTCCCTGCCAGGGTCCAATGGCACCGAGTCCCTTGGGGCAGCGGGATAGGCTCTGGTGTGGGGAGACCCCCCCCCGTCCACGGCAGCCACCGAGGAGTGCAGGAGCAGCCGCCTTGCGTGGGAAGAAAGGCCTCCGACAGGCCAGGCTTCCCCCGTGGGCCCTCTCAGCAGGCCGTATTCGCCCCCCCCCCCGAACAACCGCCCCTAACCCCAGCCCTGGCCCTGAGGCTCGCGTGGGTCCCAAAGAGCCAGTTGTGCACAGCTGTTTGGAAGGGAGCTCGGGAGGGGGCCCAAAGCCTGCCTACCAGGTGGGGGGAGGAGGGAAGGTGCCACCCGGCCTGCTGTGCAATCAGGCTGGTGCTTTGTGCCACGGCCGCTGCCCCTGCAAGGACTGCAGGCAAGGGGCACCCGACAGCAGAGAGGAGCCCAGCAGGTCCTGTGGGTCTCCTTTCCCTGAAGCAAGGGGAGGGGGAACCAGCTGCATAAGGCCTGAAGCAGCCTCTCTGCTCCCTCTCCCCATGTGGGGCTGTGAAAACATGGCATATCAGGGTTGGCAATTATTTATTTATTTGCATCCCACCCATATTATTTTTTCAAATAACTTAAGTGGCGAACATCTCCACATACCTTCCCGCTCCTATTTCCCCCATAGCAACAACCCTGTGAGGTGGGTTGAGCCAAGAGACTGAAACCGGCCCAAAATCACCCAGCCAGTTTTCAGGACTAAGTGGCACCAGGCCATCTGAGTCTTGAACCACCACCTCTCTTGGATTTCTATCTCCCCTTCCCACCAAAGGAGCCCTTCCCCAGCAGAGCCTCTGCCAAGGGTCCCACTAGACCCCCAAAGCCAGAGCGTTTGGCTTCTGGGATGCGAAGGGGCCAAAAGGAGCGCCCCCTCCCCCCTTGAGGCGAGGCCTGCCAGGCCCCCGTTCGGCCCTCCTGCTCTCTCTCTCTCTCTCTCTCTCTCTCCCTCTCTGTCTCTCTCTCTCTTTTTCACGCACACAAACACAGAGACACACACAGACAGACAGATGGCTGATGAGGAAACCTCTGAGCTGTGTAGACCCAGGAGCCTCCTGGCTCTGCCCCCCTTGCCCGCCTCCAGCTGTTTTCCGCAGAGCTCGTGACCTGCTGGAGGTTGGGAATTAGGCCGTCAACAAAACGAGGGGTGTGGCCCCAAGGGCAGCCCCCCCCCAGCAGCTGTCTCACTGACTGCAGGGAAGAGGAGAAAAGTTGGGGGGGCTATAAGACCCCACAGGGGGCTCCCTTGGCACAGTTGGCACTGGCAGCACTGGGGGGGGGGGCGAGGGACTCTCCTTAGGACAGAAAGGCCTCATCGTTTGTCTCCTGACCCCTTCCAGAAGATGGGGGGGGGCGGGGGGGGAAAGGCTGTGCTGGGACCGGCCAACCTTCTCTGGCCATCCGGGGGGGGGGGGGGGGGGGCGGCGGGGGTGTCGGTCCAAGGGCTGCAGGCTTTTCTTCAGGATCCGGACACTTCTAACTCCGGGAGGGGGGAGGCATCTCTCCAGCCTCTCGGAGGGGTCCCTCGCCCTCTGGGGGCCCCGGGGGTCCAGGGAAGGCGGCTCTAAGCTCCCGAAGGGGGGGGCGGGCAAGGGCACCCAGCGGGCTCTGCCAATCTTCCTCGGCAAGGAGCTTCCCTCCTTCCGGAGAACTTCCGCAAACGGCCCCGGGACCTTCTCCAACCCAGCCCGGGGGCCCCGCCAGGAAGCCGCCCGGCCGCAAGCGGCGGGAAGGGCACAAGCCGGCCCGCTCTGCCGAGCGGAAGCGCGGCGCCGGCCTCCCGGGGGCCGGAAGGGTGCCGGGCCCGGGCCGCCTGGGCCGGAGAGAGCGGGGCGCCCACCTGCATGCCGGCGTCCAGCGCGCTGAAGAGGAGCCTGCAGGCGGGGCAGCTGAAGTTCGTCCAGCCGAAGCGCGCTCCGGCCGCGGGCAGCAGCCGCTCCAGGGCCGGCCGGCTCTCCCGGGCCCCGGCTAGCCCCGCCGCCACCGCCGCCGCCGCCGCCAGCGCCCCGGCCAGCACCAGGCACCCCGCCGCCGCCCGCATCGCCCGGCCCTTGCTCAGTACGCAGAACGGGACGCGCTCCGCCCGGCCTCGCCTCGGCACTGCCGGCCGCCCGGCTGCCCGTCCGGCAAGGAAGGCGCCTCGGCGGGCGGAGCGAGGCCGGAACCGGGCGGAGCGCCGTCAGCCCCCGCCCCGC